AATCAAAAAAATAAGTGTAAACAAAACAGAAGTAAAATAATAAAATTAACAATGAAAAAGAGAACAATCAGAATACATTAATATGATAACAAAATGGACAGGTGGAGAGCAGAGAGCAATGGGGTGGAGTCTGTCATAAATCTAGGAGCCACCTCCAGCATGAAATTCCCCATTGGCTCTCCGGGCCAACTGACAGAGCCACTCCCCTTTAGGCTCTTATGGAAGGATAGAGGGGTGGGAGCAGATCTTATCCTAGAGGGTAAGATATTTTAAAGGATGGGTGCTATGGCAGAGAAGGTTCTTCTTCTGGATCCTGATAGTCAGAATTCTTTGACTGATGAGATCCGAAGTAGGCCCTCTCTGCCAGCATGAGTAGGACGTGCTTGTCCTTATGAGATGAGATAGCTTATCAGGTAGCCTGGACCTCTGCCATTAATGGCTTCTCGATCATAACCAACATCTTGAATTGCACTTGGAAGCAGACTGGTAGCTGGTGCAGTTTGAGGAGCAGAGGTGTAATACATACAGGCCATCCTAGGGCCCCCAAAGATTGCTCTCACTGCTGTACTTTCCACCAGCTGAATCAAGACTGACACAGACAACAATCAACAAAGATCACATAAACAAATATACAAAAAGGGAGGCACAAAAATAGTCAGCTTGAGGCAATTATTTCTACAAATAAGTAAGTGTACTATCCAAAAATGTTTGGAGGTTGGCTGTGATTCATAGGAAAATAGTAATTTTGCTTGAGTTTCAGTGAAACAAAATGTGACTAGATATGAATCAATTCAGCTGAGATGGCAGGTGAGGAATCATTTTGAAGTGAAACAAAACATTAGTGTAAAAGTTTCCTAAGGCTTTCAAAGCAGTCCAGTTTGATTTAGTATTTGGCTAAAGCAGAAATATGCATGTAATATTACTTTAGGAGACCATATAAATAATTGTTGTGATTAAAATATAAATAATACTGTGAAGTTCCCAATTTTTAAAGAACCCCTGTAGTATTAAAATGAACCATTCATATTTTGTTCTGAAGGGGGAAAGTACTCATTGTGAAATGAATATATTATGTTATAGGAAAGATTAATTAAATTTACTAAATAGGCTGAATTCAGATAGCCATCAGGAAAAGATTGCTTATGACTTAATTACGAACACCTTTAATTGTCATTATTTCGGGTTAGAGTCATCAATTGTTCTGTTCTAACTCAACCAAGGTTGAAACTCAATCCATTTTCAAACTCATTTGCAAGTTACATTTCTAGTCCGTAATAAGAAAATGCACTAAAAATGAACAATGACTGCTGGTTTTTTTTAATGAAAAATGGGTGGGGTGGAGTCTTTATTGTATTAATTGATTTAAATATATAGGGATAATTACTTCTAGAAAAATAAAGAGCTTTAATGTAAATATTTAATCTGATATCATTTGGCTTTTTATATAAATAGATGGTTAATGCTTATTATGAGATTAGGGAAAGAATAAATAGGGTAAAAATGAATATTACTTAGAATGTTAATATTAATTTTGAGCAGATTTATCCATTTTATTGGAAACCTGTCCTCACCCCATTCTTCCCACCCCTCACAGGTGGGAAGAACGATGAAATGTATATCATTACGTTGCAGTGTAAATGCTACTCTTTTAAAATTTGCATTATGGATAGGCTGCAGGTTTTCTTTTGTCTGTTTCTTTGTTAGGCAGTTTAATGATTACACATAAAAACAATAACAGCAAGCATTGTTCCCAAATCCCAGATGTTATCTCTCGTTATCTCTCACCATAAAGAAAATGCTTTCCCTTGTTTTAATATGTTTTTTTTTTAAATTCAGATGCAAATCACAGAAACATTGCTGAAGAAATGGACCTTCTTCGTGACAGGAGCTGTTGGACAAGTCATATATACACAAGACAGTGTGGGTTTCAAAATTTTTTAGAACCTCTTCTGTAGGTGTGGCTTGGTTTGTGGGAGTGGCTTGCCGGTCATGTGACCGGGTGGCAGTGGTTTGCCAGCCATGTGACTGGGAGGGCGTAGCCAACTTGTAAAATGTGGTGAAACTCACTTAACAACGCTCTTGCTTAGCAACCAAAATGTTGGCTCAGAAACTCCAGGGGTGTTCAAACTTGACAGCTTTAAGACTTGTGGACTTCAACTCCCAGAATTCCTCTTCTCACTCTTCATCTTGATGATATGTGGACGGGCGAAGGGAGGGAGCTGGAACTGGTTCTGAATGGCACTGTAGATTTGTGGAACCTCTTCTAT